CCCCAAAACCCCAAAACCCCAAAACCCCGCAAGAGATGATCTAATAAAAATTTTGATTTTATGAAATAAAGAGTTAATAATCTTAAATGTGATTTGATTTAGGTCAAATACATAGAATTTTTTTCTGAATCATTTCTTCATAGTTGCTCTTATCGCATCATTCTTATCACACTCATCTTCGAACTCCTTAATTCTCTTGAAATGATCTTTTTCTCTCAGAATGCTTTCATTGAATTAGGCTTGAACTCTTTAGTAATCAACTTTTAGTTTATTCAAAGAATCACTAGATTAGGAGATACTAATATCAATCTTATCCAGTACATTCTTAATATTATGGAGAAGAACTTCTTTCTCTTTCTTGTGTTTGCTTGCTTTATAGGTATCATTGATTTCTCTCAAATAATCAAACTAACAATCATTTAACCAAGAATTGTACCTATTGTCTAAAGAGTCTCTTAGTTTCCATTACTGTATTAAATATATTAACATATCTTCTATTTTCCTCTGACTTAAGATTCAAGTTATCAAAGAGCTCAACTAATCTCTTGTGGAATTGAGTAATTTCAATCTTTGATGGACAGTTCTCAATTTTTCTCTGCAACACAGTGATGTTCTAAATTATTTATAAATAAGATTAAATTTACTCTATTAATATCTGCAATTTATTTCCTTTGTTCGAGCAATTTAGAGTGTTCAAAATCAAATTCTTGATCAATTTATCTTAAAATTTCTGAGTGCTCATCTTTCTCCATCTCTTCTCTTCTTTTTTTCATCTTCTCGAGTTCTTGGTCTAGTTTAGCCTTTTCATCTCTACAATTTTTCTTAAGCTAGAGTTTCTCCTCATTTAGTCTAGCTTTCTCATCAATTAAAGCAGTTACGACCATGATTTCATGCTCTTTTACAGTGCTTCTTTCAATAGTTTAATCAATTTATTCAGCCTCGCCTTATATTGATTAAACCTATTAATGATATTGTTCTCTTTCGTATTCCATTGAGTCAACTTCCTGTTGTAGCACAACAACCATCGATTAAAGTTCCTATCTTTGAACTGATGATTTCTGTACTCTATTCTTAAGCTTTTCAATTTGCTTTTCATAATTATCCTTTTCGCTTTAGAAATAAAAAGCAGCATCATTTTGGAAAGACTCTTCAGAAAGCTTTTAGAATCCATTCACAGTTTCTGAGATTTATTCGATGTTTTGCATGAATACATCACTAACATTATCTGCTCTTACAGCAATAGTTCTTCTTCTTATTAATGAGATGTCTTAGTCTAAAACTTGCTCTTCTTACTCTTCAATAGCTTAGAGTCCTTCGTTTTATTGCACTTACGATTCTGAGGCTTAATACTGTTGTTCCCCAGATTTAACTATCTACTTAGTAGTACCTCTTTGAACTTACTGTTATTAACTAAACTATTCTTGCATTGTTTCAAATTGTGAAAGATTTTATTGCTACTATTGAAGATTTCCCATTATATTTTACTATTGAGATGAGGATAATTAGTTCCCTGAAACTTATTATAATTATTACTATTAAACTTATTAAGCTGTTTCTTTCTAAGCAGAGTCTTATTTAGATTTAGACGCTTTTACCTTTGTCTATTTCACTTGAACAATACCTTCATTGAGATCGAATTCTTGAGCGGCTGATGCTTTAGCAAAGTTTTTTTGAGATAACTTTTCGTTTGCCAGCATTCTCTCAACATTAGCTATTACTTCCTCCTAAGTTTATTCTTGTAAATTATACGAGCCTGATGGTTGATTAGGATCTTAGCCCTAAAGTTTTCCTTGTTTCACTAGCTGCTACCTTTGTGCCTTTTCTTCAAGTTCAAATTATGCAATCTAGTCAATGATGGCTTGGAATACTTTGTTTGCTGAGAGATCATTGAATTCTCTTAGTGCTGTGTGAACTCTTTTTGGGTCATGGAAGGCAACATCTCTTGTTCTATTACTTTTGAAAACTCTTCTGGGCTTCCCTCTGAATACTATTTCTTTCATCTTTTAGATATCTTTCTCTTTATTTTCATTATTTACCTTCTGTTAGCCCTCTTAGCCTTCTTAATTTTGTGACTCACTGTATTTTAGATTGTAGTTTAAGATACCTTGCTTCTTATTTCTCTCACCTCTAGTATCTCTGGATTCCATAAGTTTTCTGATTAGCCATTGTAGTACTGGGTAAATTTTAGAGTAATCAAGACCTTGAATCTAATGAGGGAATATTTGAAGTGGGCACTCCATTATCTTTAAACTAGCCACTACTTTTTCAGAGAGTTTAATTTTCTGACCCATAATAAGGTCATCTTAGAATTCAATATCTATATCATAGTTGCTACCAGCGATGGACCAACACATGCCTCCAAGAATCTGATAATAGGAATAATTTAATCATTAGACTCTTACCTTATCAAATGGATCAATATTCAGTCTGGCTCTAAAGTATCCGCCATTTATTAGCAATTCATTGATTCTGGCTAATAGCTCTGACTGCTGCTGTTCCTACATATCAGCGATACGTCTCACATTTTCCTCTGCTTTAAACATCTTGTTCTCGAGATATCCTATTATTTATTATAATTTAATATCCTTATTTATATTTTATAGTAAAGATTCTTAATCTTAATTAGTGGGGTTTTGGGGTTTTGGGG